AGAGAGAGAGAGAGAGAGAGAGAGAGAGAGAGAGAGAGAGAGAGAGCGCCATCTGTGGTCGGTCCAGAGCTCCATGTTCTGATTGGACCATTTTAGAGACAAGATGGTTTTAAGAAATTGGCTTTACACAATTATGAAATTGGTAGTTAGGTAAAAAATAATAATAAAAAAATTTGATTTTTTTTTTTTTAATTTGAAAATAACTTTTGCAGCAGCTAAGAGTTTGTTTTGTGATAATACAAGMTGATTATTTTGGCTGATTTGTAAAACTTTAAGCTGTTTTCAGACTTTAACCCAATTCTTGTGTTGAGATTTCTCCACTGCCTGCTTGGTTTCCTTTATAAACTCTTGACTTAACTTTTTCTAATTACATTACAAGCAAGAAATATCTGTGAAAATGTTTTTATCAGCTGCTTTTTCCTGACAGTTAAATTGTAAAGGAAACATTGTGTTAGAGGTCAAATTGTTTTATTTCTTAGTTTCACCTGCAATAAATAGATTCAAATAAAATCTAGAAGAGCTGAGATTTCTGTAAGTGTTCCGAAAGATCAAACACTAATCATGTTTAAAATATTAAAACAAAATGTTCCCTTTAAGTATCACTTGAAAACCTTCAGGTCACAATTGTTCACATAAACCAAAATTTAGATAAATGTGAAACGTTTAACCATTTGTTGTAGCATTTTTTCACGTTTATTGCTGATTTGTAACAAAAAAAATAAAGAATTGGAAAAAGATATTTTTCCAGATTTTTTTCTCCACATTTACCCAAACCTAATAATAATAATAATAATAATAATAATAATAATAATAATAATAATAATAATAAATACTAGAATCAACTTCCAGACTCTTTAAGGCTTTATGAATTCATCAGTTATTACTGTGACTCGCAGATAAAAGCAAAATGGCACAAATATTGATTTGTCACTTCTTTTATTGTCCAGGTGCCTTCAAACGGCCACCGTGCTGTTAGTGAGCACAAACTGGTCCAGGACTGTGGATATGAGTCTGACCTGCTTATTCAGACCAAATTAAAACCTACATACTTACACAGAAATGGCCCAACATTAAAAACAGAACAGAAACAACTTTACAAAACAAAACAAAAAAAAAAAAAAGCCTAAGCAAAAAAAAAAAAAAAAAAAAGCTAATCCCTGTTTTTTTAATGTGAAAGTCGCAGCGTGGACATCATCATCATCATCATCATCATCATCATCATCATCATCATCATCATCATCATAAAGGCACTCTGTTGTTCAGTTTACACATTGCAGTGATTTTAAACAGAAGTTCACTTCAGTTGGTTTCACAGTAGAAATCAGAACAGGGACTTCAAAAACAAACAAACACAAAAAAAAAAAAAACGTAATGTAACTGTATCATTTAACAGGCAATTAACCACTGGAGATCAACAAGCTATAAATATATTAGGACTCTATGAGAAAGCAGCAGCTTTTAAAGCAGGAACAGTTCCTGACGCTGTGATTCTGCGCAGCAGAATGTTACAATTCAGCAACCTGGATTCAAGGTGTTCTGCTCTCTCAGTAACGGGTCGGACTCGTATGATGACTCACTCCTCGGTACCAGAACACAAAGAGAAATGGTGACCCTGAATTTACTTTTCTCCTTGCCCACTGGACTTTGTGCCTTTTCTTTTAATTTCAGTGCAAAAATGTCATTCGCATTGTAAGAGAAAGAATGGTTTATTTTAATGAGGCAAAGATTCGGCTTTCATATAGCTGAGCTTTTTTTTTTTTTTTTTCAAATATTGCTGATATTTCTGCTTTAGAAACCTTCAGTCGTGGAGCTTATAGGTTTGGTCTAAAAAGGGCTTCAGTGATTTGTTTAGATGTGAAAGAAAAGTATTTTCTGAATGTCTACATTCTGCTGTTTGTCTTTGGTGTGATCGTCACACAGATCCTKATGCTTTCCAGGCACAAGTTGGAGAGTGATCAAATAAAGAAGGCTTCAGATTAAAAATAACCCAGTTTGGATTTGTTTAGGTGTATTAATTATTGACCAACTAAATAAGGATTCGTTTTTAATTATCCTAAGAATAAAAAAAAAGACATTCACTCCAACTCAGTCTGTGTTAATATGTTAAATGTCTTCAATAAGATCAATTTCTGATGATATTTATTTTAAACAGTCATCTAAACCTTAAAACCTGATGATCTGATCTGATTTTTTTTATTTAACTACAACCTAATTTCCCTCTGGGATCAATAAAGTATTTTTGAATTGAATTGAACTCAAAAGCTCTGATATTTTGACAGGCTTCCTGTTATTACAAATAATGTAGAGTCTATTATTGCTGCAACAGAAGTATTTCCCAGTTTGCATAGATTTACCTGATTTCAGATGCATTTACTGTCTGTTATTATTCAGATGCAGTTTAGTTTAAACAGCAACCGGACTGAAAGAAAGTAAACGATTAACATTGCCAGGCTGTGTATCCTAAATCAAAATAAATAAACAGTCAACAGGAATGAAACTCGACAAAATGTCTTTATGAAACATGAGATTTCATTAAAGTGTGCATTTATGTATGTGGCAACAAATGAAACTGTGCCTTTTAGTGTTTGTGTCTTGAATTTAGATTATCTTCACTTCCATAAGCTATAACCACAAGCTTCATAAAGTCGCCTTTTTTAAGATGCAGGGGTATGTTTTTTTTTTTTTTTTMTTMGGGGGGGGGGGGGGGTATTAATGAACCTGTTGCCCCTTATACCCAACTACAGATAAGCAGAAGATGGATGGGTGGTAATTAATGGCTTGACCCTTTAAAAAAACCTACTCTGAGATACGATGATCTCTGCAAATGTTAGCGTTTTTCCAAGATTTATTACAAAAACTCCCCACATACATACACAGACGTTGCTGTTTGTTGAATCCTCTGCAGTTTTCATGCCAGGCCACTAGTCGGCGCTGTGGTTTTTGTAGTTCCACACTTACACACAGAAAAACGACTGACTGCAGAAACGCTGCGGTTTTACTCAAAAACTGTGTCGTGTAAACAGAGCCTGAGACATAATCAGTGGTTCTACACACGAGAAACAAGCAGCCGAACAAAAGAAACARATAAAAGCACTTGGATGAGCACAAACCTTCGTGTTTAAAAGGCTCCTCCGGTTATGAACGAGGAACAAACTCTTAGCTGGATAAAATCATCTGCAACTGGGACATAATATAAACTTCAGGTTTAAATAGATAATAGAATAGAAAAATGTTATCCTTTAACACAAACTGTACATTTAAAAAATGACAAGCGCTGCTACTTTAGAGAGGAAATCCTCTGAAACATCTTTATCAAAAATAWGCAGCTTTAGTAGCACTTCTGTTCTTCGTCTATCTAGAAAACTTTACAATGCTACATTACACTTCAGAAAGAAAACCGAAAAATATAATCWTTTTTTTATTCTAGTCCATCACTGACCACTGATTTGAGATTCCACTTCWCCCTTTTTTAGCACTTCCTCTTTGCCATGAAACAATCCTGGACTCTTCCTCTTTAACGCGCGCCTCAGTCGGCTTTCTCCACTTTTCCCACAATCTTTTCCTCAAAGATCGGCAGGACGGCGTCGTCCTCGCGCACCTCTTCAAACACCACCCCGCAGTCAAACTCATCGCTGACCTTCTTGAAATAAAACCTAAAAAATAATTTATAAAAGTTACGTTGTTAATACGGGTTAAAAAACATTTTTTTWATTAAAAATATATTTACAATTTTATCTGTCTCTCTCATGTGCTGAAAACAAGTATTTATTGACAGTTAACCCTTTCAGTAACAATCAAAATGGCTTATTTTGGATAATAAATGTGATTTTTGTTACAAACGCAGGCATCAGAAACATCCAGAAACCTCACCTGTAATTTCCTCTCTTCGTCAGCAGTTCTTTGAACTGACCCAGAGTGACAACCCTGCCACTGACGGAGGTCAGGTACGGAATCAGCTCCTCGCAGAAGTAGTAAACCACTGTGATGCTTTCACACGGCTGCTTTTTACTGGATTTACTTCTGCAAATAAAAACCCAAGACAGCGACTTACAAAATTAGAAGAAAAAAAAGTTTCTAATAAATAAATAAATAAATAAATTCTAATTTCAGCTGCAGACCACAAAAATTACAACTTAAGCATCTTGATAGTTTATTTTTGGTTAGTGTTTTCATGTATTGTTGGTATCGCCTCTACTACGGTAGAAACTAATGGGAATCAAATAAAAATAGTATCTGTTACATTTAGCTTCTAGTATCATTTTGCTACTTAAGCTTTTGAATAGCCTTTTGCTTCTTGAACCATTTAAAACCTCAGTTTCAGCTTCTTTAGCAGACTCCAGTCTTTACACAGAACTCAGCATTCACTGCATTGTTGCTATAAATGCAAATTCTTTGGTTCAAAAATAATATTCTGATTATTTTTTCTGTGATCTTGACTTCTTTCTTTACATGTGTGATTAAAAAACTCAACATTTTAACACTGGCTGTCTGTTAAAACTACACAAACAGACAGAGGTAAGTCAAGGGTGACCAGTATTCTGAGCCGAGCGATATCATTGGTCGACACGTGACTGTGGGTGGACATCACAGTATTCCATCCATCTGTCCAACAACAGATGGATGTGACAGAAAAAAGGATGTTCCATCATTGCTGTTTGCATCAGAAACCCTCCTACATCTCTGAGTCATGACTCAACACAATGACGACACATGCTTTTCAGACTTTGTGACGCTTTGCAAAGAGTAAACTCATCTGAAAGAAATGCAGCAAATTTGCTAAAAAGGTTATTGTTACAGGAAATCAGACAAACAGGACAGGAATTATGCACCCCAAGTTAAGTCTTTTCTCAATACCTGGTTTAATCTTACAAATGTTTTTTTATTACTTCACTTTAGCTTCAAATCCCGTCCTTCATTTGCCAAACTCAAACCAGAGTTATCTTTAAGGAAACCTGAGGTACAGAGAGGTTGTCCGTCACTGTAGCCGGCGCTTTGATGGGAGGATTCACCCACTGAGTCCGTGCTGCCTAATCTACCTTTCATCTTCTCCCTACATACGTCTGCTCTCCATCTACTTAACYCCCACCTGAGAGGAAAGCCTCACATCAAACAGACACGTTACTCACAACATATCAAACACGGACCAGGTCTTTAAAACTCCAGCTAGTTTGTCTCAAAGAATACCCGTCTTTGTTTATTTGCTTGTTGTGCTAATATCTGAATGTGCATTATGTCTTAATAGAATTTAAAATCTTGCTTGTAATGTACAAAACTTAAAACAGTCGCCACTGTGATGCTCAGAGCGGGGGATTGCAACAAAGCGAAGATCTGCTGGTTTCCTTAAAMAGACAATCTTTCCATTAGTTGGCATTTCATAATGCATTTAATGTATTGCATTAGAACTGGAATGAATCGACTGTAACTCCATTTAAATCTCGTTTGGATAGACTTGCTATTTTTGTATAGTGCCCTTAGACRACTTTTGTTGTGAACTGATGTTAGATCAATAAAATGAATTTAATTAAAATATCCCCTACAGACTAAATAAGCAAAAAGCAGGCTACAAAACCAGATGATAAAAAGTAGCTCATGTGTTGCATGAATACAGGACAAAACAAACACTAAAAAAGGACACATTTCTGAGCACATTACTGYTGCAACAAAGTGAACATACTCAGCTTCAGAGAGCTCCATGTCTGAAACAGCGGGCACCGTGTTGAGTAGAGGGACCGGTGCGGGCCTGACTGRGGTGCGACCCCTCTGAATCACCTCCATCACATATCTGAGGGACCGAAACAAAACAGAATCTGTGCAGAAAAACAGCAACACCTTTCTAAAGCCTCATCTCTGGCTCAGACTCTAATAAAAGACGGTACTGATTGAGAGAACAGATAACAGTGGCAATGAAACGTTTAATTTGTTACCTCTGCTTGGGGCCACACTTAATCGTTTCCTCCTCAAGCCGCCGACAAACCTCCTCCAGCTGGGTTAGGGGGCTTGGAGCTGGATTTGGGGGCATGGTGGGGTCCTGGATGAAAGGGTGAAACGGCTGCACGTCGTTGCGCTGCTGACCGCTGAAGCCCGGGTGTGTTGGTCCGGATCTGTCTGCAGAGCTGAGGTGCGGGGCCCGCTTGGAGCCAGAGGTACTCCTGAAGATAAAGCTCATCAGCAGCTATTCCCCTACACAAACTCTGTTATTGTTTAAAATGCTTCTTTAACGCTTTAGACTTGTCTCTTTGTTGTTTAACAAAATATTTCATGAAGAAAACTGAAGAAATGACATCTCAGGGTGAATCCTTAATGCTGAAAGGGTTTTGCTGAAAGCTAAAAGCAAAAATTACAGCCCTGAACAGGCCGGATCTCATCTGATCTCAGAAGCTAGGCAGGGCTGGGCCTGATTAGGACCTGGTGAATACCAGGTGCCATAAAACCAATGTAGGAGTTGGGCTCACATTAGAAAAACTAGAAAGAAAAAAACCTTTGACCATATTAGGTCATAAATCGATTTATAAAAATGGATGCCAAAAATAAATAAATATATATATACTGTATATACAGTATATTAGGGGTGCAACAATATATGTACCCGTATCGAACCATATTGAACAGTGCTTTAGGTTCAATACACACTTGTATGGAACAATACAGATTTTTAAAATTTATTTTATCAYCTTGTCTTCTGAAGATGCTCTGTGTTGAAGGATCAGTGGATCTGTGTTCGARTACTCCACCTAGGCTGCATTGTCGAGCGCAGATCCACTGAGAAACTTGCTGTTTCAGCAACATTTAATTAAAAAACTGTACTTCTGAGGTTAAACAAATGTTCATAATTAATTTCAATAAATTACAAGTTAAAAGGGGCATGGACATTTCTCTTTTTTGTATCGAAAAAATATTGAACCGTGAGACTAAAATATCGAACCGAACCGAAAATATTCTGTATCATTGCAGCCCTAGTGTGTGTGTGTGTGTGTGTGTGTGTGTGT